TACATTGTTATTTTTACACTTGCAGCGATTTGTTGTGCACAAGGTTGTGCAATTGCAGTAAATGTAGCCTTGGCCGCCGGTCAGTGATTGTGAAGATGCAATGGTTCGTAGTGATTTTCCTCAGTACCAACGGGTGACAATGAGAGCAGTGTTTCGTGAAGAATTGAAAACTCACTTCTAGCATATAGTTGTTTTAAAACACCATGTTCCTTTCCTAGCTTGTAGAAAGCGCCATCGACACTCACGCCAACTGCAATGACGCTTCGGGGATCACCGCGACCTCTGTCAACATCTGGAATACGGATGCGACCAGTATCTTTCACTTCAGCTTGTTTAAATTTTGTTAGCATTTTAGCACCTTGAGTTTGCAAGGTAGTATGAGCTGCTGACCTGTTGTCCACGGTTTCTTGTTTATTGTGACATATTCTGCGAGTACTGTTCCCTCCATACCCTTCGTCTGCTTCATTGGCTATTCCGTATATTGAATGGACATCGTTGCCACATGATCCACAAGAATGGGCTGCATTACAATATTTTTCAGAAACTACACAGAATCTGTTGGCTTTGTTATTGTCACGCAGCTGGTCTGGACGTTCCGCCACGGAAGGAGGGTGCAGGAGATGTGTTAGCCGAGGATGTCGTTGCATTTATGGCAACCTCCATTTCTTGTTCAATGTTCTCAAGATCTTCCTCAGTCTCAGCAGCGTTTCTTCCAGGCATCTCTTCGGGGGGGGGGGGGGGGCAAATGCCCCCCCCCCCCCGAAAAAAATTTACCGCCCCCCCCCAACGAAATGAAATTTATATAATTTATATAGAAAATATATACTTTTAACGGTGTCCGCCCCCCCGAAGAAAGTCTACCGCCCCCCCCCCCCCCCGAAAATTTCAAGTGCCCCCCCCCCCCCCCCGGAGAAAAAAGTCTGGAAGAAACACTGAGTCTCTGTAGCTAACTCATCGAGAGCCTCTCTTGGTAGATTTGAAGTGCTAAGTCCCACTTTTGCTTTGCATCCAAACAAGGCTTCGTATCGCGATTGTTGGATTCCTTGATGAAAATTACGGTTTTTCATAAGACTCTCAGCCCAATGAGATGATTCTTCGGGCTTTGCCAAGAGAGCCGGCCAATGCGCACATTGGCCAGCCAATGCGGGCTTTGGCCGCACTTCGGGCTTTGACCGTAACATATATAACATATATAAATGTCAAAGCCCGAATAGCGGCCATAGGGGGGGGGGGAGGCGTTGTTAAATGTTTTGCTTAGGGCGCTAAATAACCTGGCGCCGGCACTGCTAATATCAAGATACTAGAATGTTTATCATGCAGTTATCTAATATCAAGCTACTAGCCTTGATTATCAAAGTGTCTACTTTATAAAGGTATCAAACTGATCATGGTAGTAACCTTACACCAAGACACCATGCTGACATTTTGGCATACAAGTCATACTTAGAAGCCTGACCTATGTCAAACCTAGCTATCATTACCAGAATAGGAATATTTCTAGCATTTTAAGGGCCTGAAGTTTTTATGTAATCTCATTTTTCAGAATGCTATCCTCACTTATTAACTGATTTCTTTATTTATCAGTGTGATTTATTCATGGTTCGAGTATGACATCAAGAGAATATATTGAATTTATAAGGTACTAATCAGAATTTTCATTTTTACTTGTCAAGGGGACAGTCTGACAAGTTTTTTTTTTTAACTTGACCTATTAAGGAAACAATAGAGGTAATAAAAATTTAAGCTAAACATAACAATATACATTTTATAGTTATCAAGGATGACATTTCCAATTGCAGCGTAAGATTATCAAAATACCAGTTTTAGATAAAGATAAAAGGATATATATACATATATAGGCCTATATATATATATATATATATATATATATATATATATATATATATATATATATATATATATGCTTAGGATATTGTACCCTATCATCACCTCCTTCCCAGAGAAATTATCCCCCTGGGTAATTACCCATCCAATTATACAAACATGAATAAAGGGAACAATTTTAGACATACATTTTTGAAGTTTTATTTTGTTAGCATCAATCCCAATTTCTAACTCAATCTCTATCTCCAACCCTAACCCTAACCTATCCCTAAACATAAGTCTATTCATATCCCTTAATTATCTTTAAGTTATCCCTATTAAATCTCAATCTTTATATGACAGTAAGTGGTGGTGTACTACTGTAGATTTTAATGGGTGTAATGATGGGGGGGGGGGGTGTAAATGTCAGTGGGGTGGCGAGGTTGACAGAATAATGTCCTGCTCCCAACTTTCACAAACATATAATTAATATATATATAAATATATAACCTATACACACATAAAAATCTGGATTCTATGATATACTCAATTTTTAAAGTTAAAGCAACAATAGGTGTAAGTTTGGAAGTCTATAAGGTTTATACCCCTTATAGCACTAATTCTATACAACTGATTCATATTGGAAATGTTTTTTATTTTGTTATAAAGGCAAAATCAATAGCAGGGTCAATATATGTCATGTAGTACAACATAAAATAATGTACAATTTAAAAAAAATTAAAACCAGTTAGGATTTTGAGCAAATTTATCATTCCAAAATATATCATTTAAGTTCCTCTCCATTTATAACAATTAACATGGTCAAATTATATAGGTAACAATCACAACAATGGAACCAATATTTTATCAACAGTTACGTTAACAGTAAAGCACTTTGCTAATAATGAAAGTTATTGTGCAAACACTAATCTCCGTAATATATAAAAAATAAATAAATAAAAGATGGAGATCACAAGAAATTGACAACAACCAGTTGAGAGAATTTAAAAACAACATAAAACACAATAAAACAGCACACCCCATTAAAGGTTGAGCCAAAAAGACCAAGTTAACACCATCCAAATAAGTTTCAAATTATGCAGAAATAGTATCAGAAATCTCCACCAGGTAGGACATTTGACTGAGGTAAGGTTACATTCCATTAGTATTAACAAGTAAACAAAGTTAAAAATTTATAAAATCAATTCTACTAAGGTACCACTTGAGGTGTTGAATTATTTATAAATATAAGAAAGTGGATTTGAAAGTTAATCAAACCATTAAACAATATCAACTGTACAAACAATATATAAATATATGTGAAGCTAATAAAATCCATGAAAAATAATAAAACCATTATACAAATCATTTACAAATTTTGTAAGAAAAATAGATTGTAGAACAGTTATTTAAAAACTTTATTACTAGATTAACTATTTAATGAGAAATATGGTTTAAACACTACCTGTTTTTTTTTTATGGTTGTTTAAAACAAATAAAAAATCAAGTACATTATATGTGTACTAGAAGAAGTTGAAAGTTTTTGTGTAGGCATGAAACAACTTGACAGTGAAATGCTGCTTAAACTAAAATACTAAGATAAAAATAATGCTAGAAGTAACAAAAGCAGCAGATATGATTTCAAAGTATTTTAACAACATCAGGTAAAAAATGATTAATACATAACTTTAGATCTATATAATTTCAATGTATTTTAAAGTAGCCTAAATCATTAGAATATTGCAAATCAAAGGAAATGTTTAAATAATATGTGTAATAAGTTACTAATCCATAGAGAATAAAAAAATTCAACTGGGATGACTCTGCCCTGTTTATAACATTTAAGTGTTGTTATTTTTTTGAACACAGCATCATTAAAAAAATATGAACAAAAATCACAACTACTGACTTTTAGTTTCAAAATGTAAAAATGGGGTACTTTGAAAAAGAAAGTTTAGAAAAAAAACACACACCTGATAAGGTATTAATGTGTCCAGTTTATTATAAACTAGCAGCAACATGGAGATTATTTGGGCAATAAATAAATAAAGACCAATAACAAGTAAATAAAAGTTGGATAATAATTTCATCACCCTTAAGTGTTGGAGTGTTTTAGTACTGAATTTTTTGCAAACAGATTTTAGGGAAAATTGTATCCTTTAGAGCCTTTAATGACCGTCAAGTTTTTTGCAATATTATTAGTTTGTTTCACACAGTTGTTATGAAAAAGTCACTATAGTATGCTTAAAATTAGTCAAAAGGGGATGACGTGGCCAAGTGGTAGAGAGTTAGACTGTTAACCCGTAAGTCAAGTTTGAATTCGGGTTCAAATCAGTAGAACGTCCCTGAGTCCACCTGATGGGTACCTAACTCATGTTCAAAAGCAAAGGTGTCTGGGGATAGTGCTGACCACATTATTCCCTTGTATGCAGAGGGCATTGAAACAGATGAACTCTACTTCATCTGCACCATGTGTCATGGGCACGAACAGGAAAAGATGATGAATGAGCCAAAAACATTGTTGTTGTTTTTTTTTAAATTTTGAAAGATGATTAATGCTTTTCATTATTTTTTAAAGCTTATAAAGATAGAAAAAATGAAGATATTCATATCTCAAATAGCATTAATATATACTCAATAAGAATAAGCATAATTAAACTAAAGTTTAAAAAAAAACAATCTGCTTTTTTTTTTTTTTTAAAAGTTTAAAAAATGAATATCAGTGTTTCTTCCAGGCATTTCCTTCGAGAGCGAAGAAACAGAATTAAATATTAAATTAAACAATTAAATAAATTAAAAATAAATAATTAAATTATCAGCGATTGGCCCCCCCCCCCCCCCCCCTGAAAATTTAGTTGGCTCTCCCATATATTTTAAGTCCCTCCTCCACTAGGGGTAAAAATGTCAGGAAGAAACACTGATGAATATTAATTTTAAAAATCTATGTGTTAAATAATAAAAATAGGTTATTTCATATCTTATCCAAATTGTGGCTGAATCTAAAAAATTGCTTAGTTTTCTGGCTGTGGTAATGATTACTAAAAAAAAAATAATATGTATATATATGGGCATATATTCATATTATATATAAACATTATGTATATATATATATATATATATATATATATATATATATATATATATATATATATATATATATATATATATATATATATATATATACATACATTTATAAATGTGTGGGGTGTGCTACATATGTTTGTAGATACTGTGTACATAAAAATTGTTTCAACTCACCTAAAATTAGCAAAATATATTTTTATTATATTAAAGGCAACTTTAATACCATATATACCATTTTTAAAAGTGAAAGAATTAATTTACCAACAAATTTTTATTTACTTTAGGGCAAAGTTACCTATTGGAGCAAAGTCACCCCAGTTGTTGAATGTAAACTCCAAAGGAACTTAATTTTAACACTGTATGAGGGCACATTTGTTAAAAGGTAAAATTGAACATTTCAAGAAATGAAGTTTAATATTATATTAATAAGTTACTTCAATTATAAAATAACAAGGCCACAAACTATAAACACAGTCTTTACAAGGTTTGAAGAAACACATTTTTCAAAAACATTCTGTAATGTTGTTAACTAATCTAAATATCTAGTAGAAGATGGGAATGTAAACAGCGTGAGTTCAGATACCTAAGGGCTTCATTTTAAGTTATTTGTGTTATTTGTATAAGTTTAATTGTACCATTCCTTTTGTGTATCACGGTAACTTTTGTAACTTGATTCCTCATTCATGCTAGCAATAAGAATAATAAAATTCTAAGACTATATGTAACTCTACCAGTTTGGATATGATACTTTAAACAAGTTTTTTTTTTTAAAGACAACAATTATTTGAGCACTTTCTTGATTATTTAAAGAAAAATTAATAAGTTGGCATAAAGAATAATATCTGATTGTAATTTATATTATATGTACAACATATTCAATATGAAGGGATAAAAAAAAATAAAAACACATGATGACAACCTAAAAACTTAAATACAAGGACTAAATATGTTAAGATTTGAAATTGTACACATATTACAAAATACAAAAGAGTGGGATGGTTTATCATTCTATTGTATTGAGTTAAATGGAGTAGGTTATATAAACATTTTTTTATTTTCTTAACTTTTATTTTTGAAATTTTTTTTTAATAAGTGTTGGGATAGAAGGACTTTTAGATCAATAGAAATGTTATAAAGCCTTACATGAAATGGGGGGGTTAATAACAAAAATGTGCTATTTCAGTGTTCAATAATACATACTCAATCCCTTGTATTCAATAATAATTATCAGTTGGCAAATATTAAAAAATATAGACAACATGCATTATATTTCCCTCACATGAGGTTTTGTTTTTATACGCTCAAACATTTTGATGGTTAATGAATTATAAAGATTTACAAATTAATAAATTGAATTATATTCAAAAGATATAACAGTACTCTTCTGAAAAATGTTACAAGCTTTAAAAATATGGTAATCTAAGCAACAATAAATCTATAAAAATGATTTGAAGTATGATTATAATGACGATCTTTCGAATATTAAAATACAGAATAGAAATGGAATTGTAGTTAGGAGAAGTAAGGTCTGATTTACAAAATTTTATTTTAACTTCTTCAAAATGTTAAATTTCTTCATTTAAAACAAGTATTTAAGAAGAAAAAAACATATAAGGTATATATATTTAAGTAAATGTTATGTATCCTTGGTTTATATGATAGATATTGTAAAGCACATAATTTGATGGCCAAGCCTATGGGCTAACTTTTCTTCCATTTTGTATTTTAACAACAGCAGTTTAACTAATATATGCTGCCCAATCTACCATCTAACTTGCTATTTACTTATCAAGCATTATTGTTAGATTTAGGTCAGTAAACATTTTGTAATAATTATTTAACAAAGTATAATATAAACATATTTCACAAAGTTGTATTTTCAAATATCTCATAAAATATTAAATGAATTATTCCTGTAGCTTAGGTTTTATTTGAGATCTCTACACAAAGATGTAGCAATTTTGACTTTCATTTTCAAATATAATTGCAAGCTGCCTTGCAATTTCATTTCTAAAATAGTTTTTAATGAACAATTAGTGTATTTTTTCGAATTCTTAATTCTTACTAATTTTTAATCAACCCTTTTGTTCTTAACAATTGAAAGTAATATTTTATTATGTTTTATTCATTTAAAGTTTAAAAAGTATATTAATTATTACTCAAAAAATACTGGCTGTTGAAGTAACTAAAAGTTCTAAGCAATAAAAACTATACATTGATATTAAAGAGACAGGTGTGAGCTCATAAATTAAATGAGATTCCTAGGTGTTTAAGTGGTTCAGTGTATCCGTCTTCAAGAAAGGTATGTTCACATCTGAACTTGGTTCTGGGGCATATTCAACCTTCTCTGTAATATAAACATAAGTATTTTATAAGAGTAACTAAAAAATTCAGAATTTAAAAACAGATTTTTAAACATTGCAGCTTGTTACATCCTTTTCAAAGCTATAATAGAAAGCCAAAACACATGAAGTCATAATTTAGCACTAAAAGATAGATGCAATTTATTATTATTAATTATATTAGCAAAAATAAAATAAACATAGGCTTATTATTTTGATACTTAAATATGCCATGCAAATCTGTGCTGGTTGTTTTAGGTGAAAGATGTTAATATTTTATTCTTCTACAGCATGATTGGTAGATCAATTTTTAGAAAGGTTTTTAGATTTACATTTAAGTTACTATAAGAAAAACCGTCGATGCTTTAATAGGTATTTAATAATTTAAGAAGCAACCCACGCTTTATTTTAAGTAGTTTACTTAATTTAGTTATTTAAATAGTTCATTATAATATTTAAAGAAAATAATTTATTTTCTCCTTTTTACAAGCTTTTTAACTTGCTTCCTCTGTCTTCATGTTGATGATCATGGATCGAAACTGCTGAGGAAAGTTTTAAGCACTTCTAAGTGACCAATTAGTTTCAAATTTGGCACGTGGGTAATGAACCAATGACAATGTAATCTTACATCAAATTTGAATTAATTGGATGCCTAATTAATTTGTTATGAGAATTCAAAATTCCTTCATAAAGTACTATTTACCACACTTTTATATGCATATTTTTTATGGTTCATTTAGAGCGCAATAGTTTTTTTGTCATGCAACTATTGTATTGAAACATTTAAAGTACTGACAAAAATGCATTAAAAAAAATGCAGAAAAAACATTTAAATTACAAGCTTTTTATGTAATAATGAACTAAAAAGGTGAAAAATAAATGATTTTCTTTAAATGTATAATAATACTTAACTATTTAAAGTAAATAAATAATAATAAAGAAAATGCATGGGTCGCTATAATATGTATTAGATACCTTTACTAATATTTAGAAAGCAACCCATGCTTTTCTTTGTAATTATTTAACCCTTTGAGCCCTGGCCTTCCTGACCTAATTTCTCCTATTTCCTGAGCTCCCAGGCCCAAACCGATTTTCACTTATCTGCTTCTAACTTTGCCTATAACTTTTGAACCGTTTGAGATTATCAAGCCAAATTTGGTATCCAGACTCAGGATCAAACAACAATGCAGCAAGCTTCTGAAATTCTTTATTTTTTTACAATGGTTGAACAGAACAATGTATATAAAACGAACACATAATTATTGTTTTAATAGAACATAGTAGAAACCAATTTACATTTAGTAATTGTTTTGTTATTATTGATACCTGGCCATACTAGTTCACCACCAGAAGTCCACTTTTGTGTGATAACTTTCAAAACAGTTATCACTGCCGGACCCAATGCAAAGAAAAAACTCGCATGTTTTGCACCATTAAACTTTTTTTTTTTGTTTGTCCTTGACACCACGTGCATCAGAACGTACTTGAACAGTTTCATTGTCACTGTTAATTTCAATGTCACTGTGTTCAGTCTCAAATTCAACGTCACTATCATCACAATATAGACCAGGAATATTATCTTCTTCATCAGAACCAATAAGTAGTTGTATTGCCTGAGATGCAGTCATTCTACTTCTTTTGTTGATATTTCGGTCTTTTGCTTTATCTTTTGCACCAACTTTATGTGATGAAGTCGACGGCTGTAGCTCAGCTTTTCGTTTTGGCTGCATTGCTACAAAACGTAAACACTTTCACTTTTCCTAAAAATCAATTTTTAAAATCATAATCCCGCACTCAAAAGACATATGCGCAGTTTTAGTCAGTCTTCCGCTAATTATATGTAATTAGACGGTATACCAGCCGCTAGGAATATGACGCTAGATCATCGGGCCGGAAAACCGGCTTTTCGGACATATATGCCTAATGTTGAAGCCGGTTTACCGGCCTGGCGGGCTCAAAGGGTTAAATAGTAGAGTATTATAATATATTTAAAGAAAATCATTTATTTTCTCCTTTTGAGTGCATTATTACATAAAAGTTTGTAATTAAAATGTTTTTATGCTTTTTTACTTTCTTGTATACAGAGAATAGAGGATGCATTGTAATTGTGCACAAAAATTACATGAAATTTTGACAGTTTTCGCTGTTTTACACATCTGTACTTAATTATATAAGGAGCATCGAGGACTTATCTTGATCGGGTGAAAATTCTGAATCCAAATTTATCAAAATGCCAGCATTTTACACATAATCGAGGCGGAAAAACTGGGTTTTGCAAATTTGTCCATATGTCTGCGTGTGTATGTATGTATGTATATGTGTATGTATGTCTCTGAACATGATAACTTGAGAACTTGGGTTGATGAAATTTCATATACAAGTTCTATATCAAATTTGTAGTTCTGTATCAACTTTTCAGCAATTTCCGATAACCGTAAGTGGAACTATATCTTGAGTACTGTTTCAGATAGATAAACAAAATAAGTAAAAGATCTAATTCTCTGCCTTCTGTTAAATTTGGAGTAATTTCCGTCGACCAGAAGTAGTATTTTACACTATTTCAAATTTCTCAAAAAACAAATATGAATTTATAGAACATTATTTTCTTAATATAAAAATGGACAAAGAATCCAAAAGTGCAAGAAACCCATTATGATTTTAAAAAATCAGGATTTTGGAGATTTTTTAATGTGCATGTCCCCTTAACAAGTAATTAAATTTGTGTCATTAAAAAATATTTGTTATAATAATAAATAGACATTTAGATAATAACTAGTAATTTAGGTTAATGTATGCGAAGCATTAGTTACCCTTGTTCGTTTGATGGCTTTAAATGTTTTATTTAGAAGATTTAAAATATAAACACCAATTTATACATAAAATAAAATTGTTTTTTTAAAGAGATAACTTTGAATAAATAATGCACCATAAAATATTTTAAAATTAAGTTTATTACCTGGGCATTGCTGGGTGGAGAGATTGGCTATTATTTCTTTCTGCAGTTTATTGAGTTCCCTTAAGTCAGGTAAATAACGAAATATATCAATCAGAATACGTCGATTTGTCTGTGGGAAGCGTCTAGCTATTTCATCAGCAAAAAGGTCAAGGTAAGTAGAATGTAGTTCATGAACACTCTCAAGATTTTCAAATCCAGAATGAACTGGGGAAAATATAACTTTTATAAACAAAAAAGCTTAAAGCAATTTACGATATACAAGTTTGGCTCTCCACATGCAATTGTGATGAATAAAATGTTTTCAAGTAAATTAAACAAAAAATTCCCCTTCATGTGTAGAGCTGAATAGTTATTTAGGCTAAGACAAATTTAAAAAAAAACCTCCATCTAATTTTTATTTCAGACACTGACACTTGAAATATCAAATATTGATTGTACATTTATTGTTATAGTGACTGGTGCAGCATGACAAGATTCTAATAGTGAGTATTATTCTGTAGAAATTTTTTTTTAAAAGGTTGCACACATTTGTTATTAATAAATAATTTAATGATACAAAAATTCAACAAGATGTATTTAAAGTTTTTGAAACTATAGACTTTTGGGCTGTACATAAGTGGTTTTAGCTTTATTTTTTAACCATGAAAATAATGTAATTTTGAAATATATAATTTAAAATAATAATTAGAAGAAAAAACATTACAAATATTTATGACAAGAAAACAAATGAGCGAAAAACTATACATTGATTTTTAGTCATTTATTACATCAAAATGATTAAGCTTAATATTGCAGTTAGCATGTAATTTAAAAATTATCTTACAAACTTCTCATTTATGAAATTTTTTATTTTAAGTTTTATGAAAACTGGGACTAAATAAATTAAAGAATTTGATGGGGAATTTGATAGTGTTTAGCCTGATTGATTACTTTGAGAGATGATTAGAGCAGATTCAAAAATTGATATTTTGGTATTAATAATGTAAAACAATAAACATAATGTCTAACACATTGCCATTAGTTCCCAATTTGTTAATAGTCTAAACAGAAATACTCTCAGACATAACTTTTAATATGAATTTAAAAAATAGCCCATTAATCATATCAGAAATCAGCAGGAGCATAGAATACCTTAGTCTTTAAACCTTGATTCATACCAGGGGATGCAGCATTGTTACAGGGCGGATGTACTGCACATTTGGTGTCTAAAATACTGTTGAAGCTCAACACAACTTCCACATGCAATATCAAACCTGTCTCGCAACATACGCAACATATTCTGCAATCCAAATTAACTATATGGGATGAGGTGCCAATGACACATGCATACGTATTCCAGGTAGTCGACAGGTTGTTACGTAATCTCACAGGGAGACGCACCCATATGAAGGGAAAACAATACTATTGGGTGGAGATTTCCAACAACTACTCCCCGTCATTCTGGGTGGCTCCCGAGCACTCACTGTCGCCAGTTGCATTAAAAACAACCTTTGTGTCGTCACATGCATGTACTTACACTGACGACAAATATGAGAGCTCTTCCTGACGACAGCATTTTGCAAAATGGCTTCTCTATGTTGGAGATGGGACAATTGGATCACCTGTAACATTACCTTCACATTCTTTTCCTCTTCATTCTGATCCCATTCAACAACTATATTGCGACCTCGACTTCTCAACTGTCACTTCGGAACAACTCAGTACGCGAGCTATATTAAGTGTCACGAACGAAGACTTCCTGCACCTGAATGAACAAGTATTGAAAATTATCCCAACCGACGAAGTAACTTTCACCAGCGTTGACTTCATCATCACAGACGATCGCGCAGATGAACTTTCATTCCCCGTAGAATTTCTTAACAGTCTTACTCCTACTGGCATGCTTTCCGGATAAACTCAAAATAAAAATTGGATCAGGTGTCATGCTTCTTAGAAATCTCATGCCAGCAAGAGGTCTCTGTAATGGCACTAGACTGACTGTTACCAGCATTCACTGCAACGTACTGGAGTGTAAAACAATCGCAAAATGTCCTTATTCCCCAGATATCCCTGACTCCATCAGATTCAAATTTGCCTTTCACATGTACCCGCAGACAATTCCCTGTATATGCATGTATCTTCCAAAACATGTTTTCACTCATGGACAATTGTGTGCTGCTCTCTCCAGAGTTACTTTTTTTCATTCACTCACAGTAGTTTGCCCAAACCCACCTTTTTTGGACAACTGTGTCTATCAGGAAGTCTTCGGTCACTAAATAGCGGTGTATGCTATGCCATATGTCGACTAGTTAGTTTTAATTTTGAATGTCCACCAATATCCTGAAGTTGTACTATATTTCCAGTTTCTAAAATACTGATAACTTGAGTACTATTTTGGTTAAGTGGACAAAGTTTCATATTTAAGAATTCTATCATGTAAACTGAATGGGAACATAATTTAATTTAATTTTTTTTAAAAACAATTAAAATGTGGTAATTTTATATCTATATGTATATAAATGAAAGAATGTATTATGTATAGTATGTATTTATATATATATATTTTCATATACACATATTTATATATTCATACACACACACACACACACACACACACACATATATATATATATATATATATATATATATATATATGGGAATAAGTATAATGGTTGCATTTTATTTCAGTATTATTTGATTATGAACTGGATTTGCATAACAAAAGCTGTTTATAACAATAAAGTAAAAGTAAAGTTTCCCTTTTAAACCTGACGGTCTATGGGCAAGTGAAGTAGAGTTCACTTCTTTCTGTGACCTCGGCATATGAAGAGATAGTGTGGTCAGCACTATGCCCAGCGGCCTTTACTCTCCCTAACGTGAGTTAGGTACCCATCAGAGTTGGGTGGACTCAGCGACGGTCTACTGACTTGAACCCGGATTCGAACTCGAGACTTACGGATTAGCAGTCCAGCTCTACACAGCTAGACCACGTTTATATCAATAGGGTTAGGGTTAACTTTTCATTTCCAAATTCTTTTAAAATTTCAAGAGAATGCTATATGTTGATGAAATGGTGACTTGGAAGTCATTTTAACTAAATTTTTATATTAAGTTTGGGTAGCCAGCCCGGAATGGATAGTGTTAATCTACAGTTGAGATATATATCTAGTCTTGATACATTTTTCTCAAAGTTAAGAGGTATAGAAAAGATTAGAAGATATTTTTATTATAACTATTACCCCTTATAACAATAACACCTACCATGATCTGATGATGTTAGCTGTATAGCACAAAGTATAGCCAGCTCAGAATCATTTATATTAATTTTGTTAAAGTTTCTGCTAAAAGTCATAATTTTGTCCACAATATTAGGGTTTAGAATCCTTTCCATCCATGCTCGAGTATAGAAAGTGCCATCTTCTAGTACCAGGTAACATTCATCATTTTGAAAAAAGATGCTGTTGGTTAACTAGAACAAAAAAAGTACGAATTACTAAGTTTTGATAGTCAAATGAATAAATGTTATTTTTGATACTCCCTTGAATTGAGATATATTTATTATTATATACATAAATATACATAAATATACATACATAAATAAATAAATAAATAAATAAATATATATGAATATATATATTTAATGTAATTATAATTTTTGTAAAACTATCATAGGTTACAGTTACACAAATATAAATATTCATACCTAAAAAAAATATTTCAAACGGATTATTTCACATAGATTCATTCCATCTAGCTAGACTTATCTGTTTCATAATCCCTTATTAAGATGAACTATCCCATGTTGACTTATAGAGGGTAACATAATGCAATTTATATACATTAATACAAGCTTTGCTCATTGTTCATATTCATATAAACAAATAATTTAAGGAGTTTTACAACAAAAATGACTAGCACTTACCATCCACAAATCATAATATGCATTCTTTATTAGATACTCTTTATCATTTTTTGCTAACATTGAAAAGCCTGGTACTTCCTGGCAATAACCTGCAAAATTAAAAATTCTTTTGAGAAACTGGATTTATTGAAATATGTACTTTTATTTTTTTTTTAAGTGAATTATTTCTTCTAAAAAATATGGAATAGAAACAATGCTAATAAGGTAAAAAAAGAGACACATTTAATTATAATTTTACTAAAGTCTGAACTGTTTCATAGAACTGTTTAAAATACTAATTTTAACATGTAATATAAGAATGTCTTGGATAAAATCCTTTAGAAAGACCTGTGGTAATAATGTTACATAATTCTGAAAAATAGAGCATTAAATATTTAATTTTAGACCCAGACTTGAGTCTTGAATGTGAGATTTTAAGAGCCAAAATTCTTTAAAGTTAACCACATTTTTGACCTGAGACATTCTCTTCTTAAATTTGTAACAATTTAATTTTTAGGCCTATTGATCAATATTTAAAAGGTGGCACATATTGATGAATGTTTTAAAGGTAAAGAAGTCTTGCAAATGTATTGTTTCTAAAATATATTGTATTGTAATTTTAATAATTTAACATGATACTTATGAACATGGTTCATCAACAATCCTAATTTGGTGAGCTTTAAATTAGCTTTGAAGTGTCACCACTTCTGACTATCCAAAAATAGTTATCATTATCATTACCCCTGTCAATTACCTCACCTCCCAGGACATTATCCTGACCAAAAACTGCGGTAGGACATTACCTAGCCCCTGACAGTGACCCATTGGTTTAGTAACAGTAACTGTAATGGCCATAGCGGTAACGACGACTGCAGTGGTGGTACTGGTAACGGTATTGGAAATGGTAGGATAACGGGAAGATTAAGGATAGGCATATGGTTTTGGATAGCAACAGGATTAGGAATTTCGAGATGGATATGGGAAAAGAAAGGTAAAAATATGTACTGTGTAGTGGGGTAATTACACAGGGTGGTAATTGAAAGGAGGAAATTTAACTGAGAGTTAATGATGAGTGGGGGTAGGGGCGGCTAACGTCTTACACTCAGGTAAAGCATGTCACATTTCAGATAAAAATTAAAGTTTAATGTTAGTTATACGCTAATTTTAAGTTAGATTATAATATTATTGGCAATTCTGTACATGTTATTTAACATTTTATATGCACTGGTGGCTTTACTGGTTTGACTCTGATGCTTATTATATTTGTGTAACGAACCGTGATATTGAGAAATGGCAGGTGATGTGAACATTAATTTTTAGAATGACGCGCTGTTGCTGTTTTGAGCGCAGCATTATGTAATGCTCTTTAATTTTTCTTAAAACATTTTGTAAACAAACATACATATATGAGTTAACAATTACACACAGTTGTACATGGCTTTAAATGCTGGAGCAAATACTAGCCAATAACAGCTACTACATATAAATAAATAAATTTAAAAAAAAATATAAATGAAAAATAAAATAAAATAAAAATATAAATGAATATATATTTTATATATATATATATATATATATATATATATATATATATAAGCTTATACCCGCGCTTTGCTATGGTTATAGAAATGGCGCTATAATCTCACTGATGTCTGTACCTTGTGTAAGAGTTGCATTGTTTTTGGATATGGATATTCCCGAAAATTAAGATACGGTTTAAAAAATGGCACAATGCTCTCATGAATGTCTGCCCAGATTTCTCATTCCCTCTAATCAATGCATGAGTTGATGAACACATTTTACCAATCAACCACATCCAAAGATAGAGCTCTCCCCATGCAAAAATTACCAACCCCGGTGACACAGACAAAGTGGCTATACCCATAATGGAAGGAAGGAAGTGCGAAATAACACTGGCGGATTATGTTATTGATATACACACACCTATATATATATATTTATGCGTGTGTGTGAGTGTGTGTGTAGATATATATATATATATATATATATATAAAATAAAATAAATATAAAAAACTTCTAAAATATCAGCTCGTTGACAGATAAATGGGAGATGTAATAAATAGCTTAGTAGTGTCCGTAAAAGTATTTAAAATTATAATTATAGTTAATAAAGCAAAGAATTATAAAACACCTATAATAGATTTGTTAATATCTGGAATAGATTCAATTAGCAGCTTGTAGACTTTGTCCTTGCTTTCTGGGGTCAAAGGGTGAATAGGAAGACTAATCTGAAAATACAGAATGAAACAGCTTTTTTTACAATTTTTAAAAAGATAAAAATAATTTTTAAATATGTAATTCTTATGGATGATTTAAATGTTTATAAATACTAGTTTAAAGAAGTGACTCCATTGAAAATACTTACTTTATTTTCAATGTAGTATTTCATATTCTGTATTTTCTTTTTCCGCGCTATCAAGTGTTTATCAAATAACTGACTCAAAACAAGTGCTTTTTCTGACATGGTGAGATCATCCACATTACTAGAGTCTGGGCTGTCATTTTCTGATCCTGGATGATGTGAGCTCACTGATACCTGCAATGTTTTTTTAATTAAAACAAATATTTTCACACTTTAATTCAGAACCAGCAAAAGCCTATATCCCAAAATTACAGATATTAACAAAGAATATTGTTATACACATGGATTTTAATTTTCTTTACCTATCAATACTAAAACTCGTTGAGCTTAATTGAATTACAGTGGGATGCTTTAGCTAAGTGATAATATATAATATACATACATATCACGTGTTCATATACAATTTAATATGCATACATCTTTTCTTTATAATTTTTTTAGCCTACTAGTTGATGATAATACTCCTGGGAAGTTTTCTACCAATTATATTTTATAATTTCACAGGGCAGAAGGATATGGTTGGCACCCAGACCTCCCCCGCGGCTAACTTAGCACCTCTGGTCTATTGCTTGGGAGTCTTGCATAGGGGGCCAGGCACCCCAGCTGTTGTGTGACCTGGTGTGCTTCAGGCACAATAAGGTATGGGCATCATTTACATTTAAAAACTCAGTTTTAGTAAACAAGGTTAAACGTCAAAAATACACAATTTTTAATGCGCTGATGAAACTTATGAAATATTGTGTCACTCTGTTGAGTGGAACTAGATCACAGAAACGTGTGACTGGTATATGAGCATGTGTGTGTGTGTGTATATTTAAGCCTATATATAATTTCACTATCCTGTCTGAGCACATATCTGTTTGTGTGACAAGAGCAATCTAGAGAAAACATAAAGAAACTAAAAAGTTGAATAGGGAACAATAGTGTGACGTCACATAAAATGAAAACAATATAAAATCAAGTCAAAATTTTTAAGAATTAAAAAAGAATGATTTTATTGATTGTAGAAGCATAAAATAGAGTTTAAAAAAATAAAATGCCGAAAAGGATACACAAAGATAACGATGTCATTGATAAAAGTACATAAAATTTACCACCTATTCTATTTAAGTACACTTGTCCCATCCTCCCACTCTTAACCCTTCTTAATTATTAAAATTTCAGAATATTTAGGGGTTGCTCCTTTAGTAATTAGTAAATACTTTTTTAAACTTTTAACTATCCCTTGCTTATGTGAAGTGGTAAAAATATGATTTTATAATTTGTTCTCTAATTTAGTTTTTTTTTTAAAGATAATGACTCATGGTTCTCAATGTTTAAAACTAGACAATAAAAGAAATTTTACTTTTTTTATGCCAAATTGCCAGTTTAGACAATACCAATTACCTATTACAGAAATTGCAGAAATTGCTGCTATGGGGACCTAGAGGGGTGTTCTAGTGAGCCCCTGATTACACTACCATAGGGGCACCGCATGTGGCCCCTGGCTCGGTTTAATCATCGAAGGTCGCGTGCTGCCTTGTTAATATTGTAGGGTGCTCCTTAATACTAACATAAGCGCCATAGTGCTTACAGGATAGCGCCGGGCGCCAAATCGTACCCCGCTGGTGTGCCAGCTGACACGCCTGATAATGTTTAGTGAATATCTCTAAAACCCCATCTTATGCATAGTCTATCAAACTGTTTAAAATGAACATAGGTGATATAGCGCTCATGCTATGGCACGCAGCGCAAAGCTGGAACCTGCAGGGATGCCAAAAAATCGCGCCTGATTCAATTTAGTGAGCGACTAAAACGCCCCATCTTATCCATTGATTATCGCACTGTTTAGAATAAACTTAGGCACCATTGCGCTCATAGGAAAGCCCAGGGCGCTAAATCACACCCTGCAGGGACACCAGAGGATGCACTTGATTTGATATAGCCAACGGTTATTGTTGCCCATCATGTCTTTAGTGTAGGCCTATAGCATTTATTTAAATGAACGAAAGCACCAGTGGTCACAGGGGAGCCCGGGCACTTCAGGCCACGAATAGCCGGGCGCTGGTGGCTACGCCTGTTGCAGTTTTAACGCTGATTATAGTAGTACCCCTTACCCACTGTACAGGACACCCAATGAAAAGATACCAAGTGCCGCCCATAAGAAATTTTTAATATTTTTCCACAGAAACCTTCTTGGGAGTATTCTCACTAACTCCACAGATAAGCCTTCCCAAGAGTATTCTCAATAACTTCCCAAAGTTTCATGGCGATCACTGATGAAAGGTGTAGTAATGCATAAAAGACAGACAGACAGACACCCACACAGTCATTGCTTAATATATATATATATATATATATATATATATATATATATATATATATATATATATATATATATATATATATATATATATATTGATATATTTGTCTAAATTTATGCTGATCTAAAAAAATCGATGAACCTTCTGGCTCAGGTAGTGACTCTTAAATATAATCTGATCTGAAAAATATTTGAACTGAATTTTTTTTTCACAGAATGGAACCAAAGTGGGGTGCCTTATTGAAAAATTTATTTTTTAAAATAAGGACCACCCTATTGTTATTAATTAAGTGAACAGGTTAAATTAACTACTATACATAAGACTTTACAGACCTTTTGGGAAGTATTAGAATCTACAGTAGCTTTGTTCTCTTGTGGGAAGTGCTGATCTGTTTCAGTAGATGTGTTGGTAACCAACGACTCTAAATTATTTAAATCATCACTAGTCAGTTCAAATTGTTTAGAGTTTTCTTGGCAGATAGATCCAATTTGAGAATGTGAGTTGATGCTCAGTGAGAAATCCAAGCTATTTGTCTGATCTAGAACATGCTGGTTGAAGTATGTTTCAGCATCAAATTCTATGCTAGAATTTGAAACATCAGGAACTAAATACTGATCATATGAAGATGAGGGATGCTGAGAAGTTAATGGCAACTGTAAAGTTTTTTGAGAGGAGTTTTTAATCAAACCAGATTTGGTTGGCAAAGGTGGTTGAAATAAAGCCTGGGCCTCATTTCCTCCTGTTTGTTTAACTATACACAGATGATCCTCCTTGTTTTTTTCAGGAATATCTGTGTAGGGTTTGAGTAATTGTTTAGCTGCTTCATATTCTTCCCTGCCTACATACTGAGCTACTGTGCTCATGATTTGATGTTTCATAGCTCGTATTTTCTCCCCTCCAACTTGATCCAACAAAACCTTAATTACATCTGGACTGTATGAAGTTCTTTTACACATTTCCTTTGTCAGTGGTGTGACATCACTGACATTCAGTTTTATTTTTTTCTCTTGAACTTTGTAGATGTTGTTCTGATCTGGAATAATTTCATTTTTTACTTGTACAGGTACAAATCCATTATGGTTTTCTGGCCACGTTGGTGTTAAGTTCTGGAACTGTTCAAATGAGTCTATCACTTGTGATGCTCTAGAATGGCAGATTGTGCTGGTGGTTGACTGAGCAAAAGGATTATCACAACTCACAGTTTCTCTGTCCAACGTATGCTGAAAGCTTGGAGGTTCTGTTTTTACTGGGTACTTCAGCAAAAGTGGTGGCTCAAGTGGATATGTAAGGTTGTTTTGTAAAGATTGATTGGTTGTTGGTGCCTGATGACTTGTGCTGTGTGAAGGGTGTAGGGCATGTGATGGCATGTGTGTGTGCTGCACTACTGGATTGGTAAACTGAGTGAAGGGTAAAGGCTGATGAAGTAAATGACCATGTGAATGGCTTCTTGAAGTGGTTTTAGAGTTAAAAGATGACAAAGTGTTATGTTGAGAACTTTTTCTATATGTGGTATATGATGTCAGATTCAAGGCTGGGTCAATATTTTTAGAAGATATACATTCATTAGATCCAGCTTGCACAGGCTGATTGTCTATTGGCCCTGAAATACCAGTTTCAGAATTTGTCATCCAAGAATACATGCTTTTACTTTGTTTTAATCCACTGTAGTTAGCTGAATCTTGGGAAAAGTGATTTTTTTTCTTTTCAAAGGAGAACAAAGTAGAAGGATTAGGAATACACATTTTTTCTTTGTTAAAGGAGCTGACAGAATGATTTGGTTGATCTCTCTCATGTGAAGCTATCCACACATCACTAGGAGATTGGTCATCTGTCTCCACATCCATTGAACCACTTGCTTGCGACTGCATTCTGGTTTCTAGTAATGCTCTTTCTTTTTCCACTTTCGGAATCCTTCCCATTTTAACAGCTTAAAAAAAAAGATCAAGTCAACTTGATAGTTCAATAATGAAAAGTTATAAATTTATAAGTATTTTTATTTAAAAATATGTCAAATGTTTTAAAATTTCAAAATGTTCTTCTTTGAATTGTTCAAATTATTTGCTTAGGCAATGCATTTTATAGTAGATTAGTGGATACAAGTTTTAATATATGCTAAATTTCAATTTTTTTTACTGTCTTCTTTAACATGAAAAATATAAAAAAAAATTAGGTGTTGCTCTTGTATTTACAAACTGACCAGTCTTTTAATAAACAAAAAGTATAAAAACAATTAGGCATGTAACAAAACAATGGCCTAAATGTTGGCTTTAAAAAAGTTGTTACTTTTTAAATATGGTATAGATTAATATCTATAGGCCTAATCATAAAATATTCAGCAGTATAAAATTTACCATCAATGGCCATGCCATTATCCAAACAGCGCTTGAACCTGCAAGCTTTGCACCTGTTTCTATTGAAGGGTGTAATATTACAGTGGCCTCCAAAGAAACAGGTGTACTTGTCTCCCTTAGGAATGCTTCTCTTAAAGAATCCCTGCAACATAATATTTCAACTTATGATATGCTTAACAAAAAATTCTATAGAACTTAAAATTTAGTCAAGCAGTTATCTTTAAATTGTAAATGGCATTACATTCCTGGTGAGAGTGGTGTGACAATGTGAGACCAGAGGCATAGCAACCCATTCCAGCATCAGAGGCAACTGTCAATTTAACGCCCCCGCCCCCATTTACAAACAAATTACTGACAACTATTTCTAATTCTGGTTATGATGTAGGTCCTCTATATCGGTGGGTCTAAAATATAATTTGCAATGCTCATAAGTGTTGGCAACCCATTGATAATGCAAATTTTCTGGAATTTTAAAAATACCATTTTTAAACAAGCTTCAACTGTCACAAAAAATAAATAAACCGGGAGTGATCTCCCCTAAACTTTCTCGAATATTCTTATATAACTTGGAATATAGACATGATTTTTAATTACTTAAACTTTTAAAAATAGAATAGAATCTCGTAGAAAATAGAATTGCGCACCAAGCGAACGCCAAAACAAAATCTGCATAATAGTGCGCAATATTATTAGTACTTTATAAATTTACATACATTTTTTGAGAAATCGGAAATAGCGTAAATTAGTACTTCCGGTCAACGGAAATTACTCAAAATTTGACAGAAGGTAGAGATTTAGATCTTTTACTTACATGTGAAATTTCATTTATCTATCCTAAATAGTATTCAAGTTATAGGCTTTTGAAAAATTCAAAGTAGAAAAAAATACCACTTCCGGTTATCGGAAATCGCTCAAAAGTTGATACGGATCTACGATTTTGATAAAATACTTATATATGAAATTTCATCAACCTAGCTGTATCGGTACTCAAGTTATCGTGTTTACACACAGACAGACAAACACACACACACACACAGATATACGGACAAGATTGCAAAATTATTTTTTTCCGTATCAGTGAGGTGTAAAACGTTAAAACGTCGAGATTTGTAAAAATCTCGATTTTTTTTCTCTATACTTCGTATATACGAGAAAGTAAAAACAACTTGCATTTTAGAAATAACTAACTTGATGAAAGCTATAATGTATTACTTTTGCCATAATCTATCAAATGTTATACAATAAACTAATCTACTATTGTTTAATAAAGAAAACATGTAGTCTATATTTTTTCCTTGGTGAAATTTGAAAATTTCTCCTCATACGTTGTTACCTTTAGTAGTTTTGTAACATGTCACACCGCAGTTTTCACTTATGACATGTATACTAGACTTGACCTACTAAAGTGTATACTAAACATGTTACGGGTATATGGAACATCTTCTGAGTCGCAGGGCACAAAACCACGCCCCTTTTTATATTCTGGGTCAAGTTTTTGTCTTCGCTCACTGAGCGAAAACACGTCAAAAGTAATAAGCGCATCCTAGGTCTCAGCTGATTGTAAAATTAAATATAGATTCTACTGACTTTGAGTTTTTGAGCATACGATTTCATAATTAATAACTTCTCTAGGCACTACTAAAATTTACATTTTTATAATTACTTATTATTTTTTAAATTATTTTCGGGGGGCGGTTACCATTTCGTTCGGGTGGGGGGGGGGGGGTATACTTTCTTCCGGGTAGGGGGCTTAGCCCCCCCCCCCCGGAAGAGATGCCTGGGGGGGGGGGGGTGTCATAGGCCCTACTATAAAAACTAGATCTACTTTAATTCTTAATAATAGACTTAGTATAGTTATAATACGATCTCAATACGTTTAATGAACTTGGCAGATGGAATTTTTCGGAGAAATCGGGCCTTTACTTTCAGCAAACAAATATTTAGCTCTGTTTATTGGAAGCTGTTTCTGAAGGACAAGCAATTAAAGAAGCTGGGGAAATGGCTACCATGGGGTTGAAGTGGGAAGGGGTGATTATACTGCGGGATGGGAGGGAGGGGTAATAACAGGTGGGTAATGTCTACGACCCGTGCTATTATACACGGCATTATATTTATAAAAACTGTCTAGCTCCAGTTGCTGGCACTCCAATAAAATTTATAAAATCTTGCATGTTCTCTAATTTTTAGATTATTCATTGTTGAATCGCAAGCACCGTGGCTACACCATTTTCCTTTTTTTTTAAAATAAAGCTGTGTGCCCACTATCTACGTTTTTTTTTACTTTGATTACTCTTTATTTTAATTTTATTTTAATTGTAGACGCTCCATGTCCAAGGTCACGCTTGTTTTATAAAATGTTCTATAACATGTTCTGAAAGTGTGAATGCTAAAGTATACATGTTCTGTGGAGAAAATTGTTCCAGATGAAAATAAATTTTGGCGGGCTTTGTGTTCTGGAAATGTATAGTATACATGTCGTAAGTGTAAATGCGGTATAAGAGTTACAGCGCTACTGGTCTGGATCCAATAGATGGATTACAATCGGTATGTCACTTTTGTATTATATATGTGTGTGTGATCACTCCACTTAATACATGCAAATCTGACAATCCCTAGTCTAATGTAATTTACTAACTGGTTGTGTTTTATAAGCGAGGTCAATCTAAACATGTTATTTCCAAGCAACAATACATGTTTCATTACTTCAGGGAGAGACAACTTAAAATTAAACATTGTCTGACATGAATTGGCATTGAAAAGCTAATGCGTTTACATCAGGCTAAAGTACAACAACATCAATATATTTTCATTGGGGGTGGGGGGATCATAATTTTGTGGAAAAAATAATGTGATGGTTTGAACATTTAAACATCAGTTTCGATTGCTAAAAAAACTTTTTTTTTAAAAATATGCCAATTATTTCTATTATTGTTGAAAACTGAGAATTGGTCCCTTGAGAATTAGCCCCCAACCCCTTTAACTTTACATTTTAATCCACTACTGTTAACAAGCTAATACCTTACACAACATAATTTTCCAATACTCTTAAGATAAATCTTACCATGTCCTTGTTGCTCTCGTTGTCTGAGCTCAGTTTTAATTCTTATGGATTTGGTACATAAAAACAAACTTTCTAGATCTATCTTAGTATTTGACCTTTCAAACCCGTTCAAAACATACTTCTTACCTTTTAAATAATGTAATGTTTTTTTTTCATGGTGCAGATAGGCGGACTAGTAGGGGAGAGGGAGGGGATTTTGAAATTTTTTTCACGTGGAACCACGCATATTTCCTCACATTTGTTTGGTAAATAAAATAAGTTTTAATTTAAACAATAAACATTCAAACATTCTTTTAGACTATAGAAACAAATGTGTGGGAAAATAACATTTACTATTTTAAGGCCTAAATAGCTGGAACTTACAATCGGGGGCCCCTGACTGCTGCCCTCTAATCCAGATAACCCCTATAATCCGCAACTGCCTACGTATTAGGTTATTTAATACTATTATGTGATATTTTGTCTGAAACAGTCTTTAAGTTATTGGATTTTGGGAAACCGGAAAAAGATTAAGTAATCAACGACTAACGGAAATCGCTCAAAATAAAACTATAAGATGTTATATATGAAATTGTGTTCATTCAAGGGGGAAGGCTCCGGTAAAAAAACTTTTTTAATACTCGTTAGAAAACAGTTATTTCTTTATAGCTTTATTAAGATTCAAACGAATTTTTTATGAATTTTCAAATTGTGGGTCCATTAAAAACACTAGTTTTAATGCCCCAAAATTAAGTGTTTTGAACGGACACAAATTTTGAAGATTCATACAAAATTAGTTTGAAGATATGCACTTAAAATTTTTAGCAGAGTGCCCCAAAATATGGAAGAATATTATGAATTCATTATTTATTGGGCTTAAAATGTAATATTTTATGAATGGTGGGAAACCTACGAAGGGGTTAATTTTTCAAGATGGCCGCCGTTGTCATAGTTACCAAGATTTTTTCACCAATTTTTTTTAGTGGAAATGCATATGCGGATGTATCTTAATAAAGTTGTAAAGAAATAACTGTTTTCTAACGAGTATTAAAAATTTTTTTTTTACCGGAGCCTTCCCCCTTAAATGAAACGATAATAAAGTTATCGTGTTTACACGCACGCAAACACACACACACACTGTTTTCCAAAATACGTCGAAATAATGTTAAAATACCGATTTAGTTTTTGCACGATTACAATACTTCTAAACTCCTTATACGAAAAAGTAAAACGACGCACCATCATATATCGACTTTTGTGGACGCATGTTGGTGGAGGGGGGGGGGGTAGTGTCAATGTGGACGTCCACGTGTATAATTTAACAACAAAATACTTAGACCTAAATTTGAAATATTTAAAAAACTGCACATAAAATGTAGATTATATAATTATAGAATGGGCAGTTCTTGTGTTAAATGTATCGTAAGCTGTATTCAGTCCGCCTAAGAAGATTTTTTTTTACAAACGGGGGGGGGGGGGGGGGGGCACTGACCGCGGCAATTTTCTGAATTCATGGTATTTCAAGTTTATTTTTAAACATTTCAAATAATTGTAACAAAATCATAGTAAACATACATCATTATTTTGTGTCAAAGCCTAAGGGGGTCGTCTATAAATGGCGTCACACTCGTAGGAGGGGGGTCCGTAATTTTGTGACGGTGTGTGATGAGGGGGGGGGAGGGTTCAGATGGTGCGACGTCACACTTTTGCATTATAAAAAAAGCAATGTTAGAAAACGAATTTTAGACGTTATTTCGCGTTTTAGAAAACTGTTTTAATAAATTGTAATAGGAATTAATTAAAATACTATATTTTGACAGAGTTCAGACAAGATTTTGGAAAAATATCGATGTTTTAAAAAAAATCAACTGCAATTTTGAGGGGGGTCTGCCTTTTTGTGACTATATGTGACTGAGGGGGGAGAGGTAAAATCGTCAAAAAAGCATCACGTCATTTATAGATGACCCAAACACGTGTAACGTAAAGTTGAGTGGAAATAACATAATGACGTCATGTTCGTTAGCCGAATTTACGCGAACTCATATAGTCGTTGATAGCTAGACAGCCACATTAAAATATTCGGTCTACAGCTTACAGCACCA